AAAAAAAAAAAAAAAAAAAAAAGGCTAGCTACAATAACTTTTAAAAGGTGAATAACTTTGGAACCTCCTTTTTTTGATTTTACAACCATTTCTTGTATTAAAAGGATAGACTAATTTCAGTTTCATTGAATAGTGCAGGTAACAGAATATGGAACAAAATACTAGCAAGTTCTAAGAATGAAAAACTACTTGGATGAATATAGAAAAAATAATTGTAATATTTTGATGTTTTTTCTCAGAAACTTATAATGCTTTCTGGAGCCATGGTTTAAAATGCAAAATATATTAAATTTAGCTCTATTACCAGTCATGTTATTTCCTCCTGTACTACATAGAGTCATTTTATTAATTTTCTGTTGCAGTTGAAATAAAGCCTTACAGAATTAAAGGTTTTTTTCTTCCATTGTACATGTGTATAATTTCTTTTTTTAAATCTCAACATACAAATAGCCCAAAACCTTTGCTGCCAGGACATGTACAGACATATCTGTTTCTTATTTTTAAAATATCAATTATTTTACAGTTTAGGGACAGCCATATTAAAATGCAATAGACAGCAATCCCAATATTGTGAATATGAAGTTTTTAAATAATGCTAATCTGTCTTGCTTTGGTTAGGAAATTGCATTGTAGTGTGCACCGTGAAAGCAACTCTATAATTAGAAATTGATGCCAAAAGAAAATATAATGAAGATGCTAGAGAGATTTAGGTTCTAGTAATAGTTCCTCACACTAACTTAGAAGTAATATTTCAGTTAATTATAGATTTCTTGCTGCCTAAAACTTAAAGATACATGCACTGATATTTTTGCTAAATGTTGACTCCACTGAACAGCTCTCTAAGATCTGGCATATTGATTTCTTGTTGTGAAGTGAGCTGTTCAAGCTCCATTTAAGATTTTCATCTTGCATGTAGCCCTGAGCACATCATAGCACCATAAATTAGTTAAATTGCACATTTATCACAAATGTTATTTTAAGATACTGCGTAAATGTGATGGCTGGAAGATATACAGTCTGCTGCAACAAGCCACTACTTGGGTGGGGTTAGACCAGGGTCACCTTTATACACCTGTGATTTAAAGCCCTTCCCACCCCATCAGAATTTCATTTAAAACTCTTTCTTGGGGCATTGTGTTTTCTCTGTCACTTGATCTGCATATTTCTAAAACTAGGTAATACATCAAGTGCTAAGCAAAGCTGGGGACTCGAAAGAAGTTTAAAATCCTGTATATTTACCATCATTTCTAATAGAAGAAAAAAGATATGTGAACACAGGCAGTTTGGTGATTTGGTTAGTGCTAGTAGTGGCTATGCCAATAATGTACCAGCGAATGGGGAGAAAAAGGAGATCACATTCTGAGCCACCAATTCTCTAAATGCTTTTCCATGTGAAATCAGACAGGTCTTGAAGGTTCTAAGGCGCAAACTAAACTTTATTTGAATAATTATGGGACATGCCAAATTGACTAGCCAATCAATTGCAAGGTTCCAGACTTTTAAAAAAAATGAAGTAGTAATTGGTACTGCACGCTAATATATATGGCTGCTGTCTGCATTTTTGTAAAAGTCACTCCTTTCCACCGCATATTGACACGCCACTACTCAGCTTCACACCCCGGTCATCACAAATTAGGACAGGTTGCATGTTTGGTACTTAATGCTCACAATTGCTATTTCCCATTTCAATTGTGAAAATGAGCAGAACAAATATTACAAGGGACCAAGCAGTTCATTAGTCCTGTTTACACTCCTACCCAAATCATAGAGAGCACATTTTGCATGAAGTGCTATTAATGCCCTTACAAAGTCAATAATGCCTTCTAAAACTCAAAGGGTTGTCAGTGTATGCAAGTGATCTGCCAATCTCACAACTAGTGATTTTTTTTTTAATCCCATGTTCTATTTAACTGTTATAGTTTTCAAGAAGGAAATCCATGCTCAAGAAGTAAGATTCCCGCTGCAGTTAAACTAAGATAAACGCAAAAATGAAGACAGCTTCCAGTGTTGCTTCAGGAAAGACCTGAGCTCTGGACTGAAGGGGTTACTTTGTCTAAATAGGTGAGAGAATACCATTGAGGTGACAGAGCTAAGCAGCAGAATTAAGTGGAGGAGTTTTGTCATTGGTTTGAATTGAGACCATTAGGATCTGAACCGAGACCTCAGAACATAAATGACTTTCAAATCAGATGTAAATGGTGAGCCAAAAGAGAAAAAATTCCAGAGCTGTGGTACTGGACGTGATTATTGTTAGTCACAGGGTCTGTTACCCAGTAGAAGTGCTCTTAAAAGAAACAGCTGGGCTGCCTACAGTGTAGAAGAAATTATACCAACCTTTTCAATTTAAAAGAAAAAGGAAAAAAAAAGAAAAAGAAATCATGAGCATGTAACTAGTCACTTAAAACAAAGAGACTGATTTTTTTTTTTAAATTGCATATATTCACTTCTTATATTTAGAAGCCTATATATGTACTTGGGATACATTTCTTATAATACTGGTTTGCTTTCTGCATACGCATTTCTAGTCTGTAAGTCCATCGGACCCAGGAAAGCAATACTTTACGAATCAAACTATTTTACAGATCAAAATTTTGTTTTCAGTATTTTTGTTGGGGTGATTTGTCAAGGCCAGTAAAACTCTGCCATTATCTTACAAAGTCTTATGTTTGTGTGCATTTGCTTCGCATGTGTTTATGCATTCTCCTTTTCTCTCTTGCTATCTGTTTTGAATTTTGAGCAATAGCAGATATGGCCAAAAGTAGAACCACTTTGAAGTCACAAAGTTTCAGCCATCAGTCTCAGCCATCTCCTCCTGTCACCTGAAAATTCACAGTAGATGGAGGAGGACGGTCTAATCCATGAAGCACCTACTAGTACAACTTGCAGACTCTATCCAGGATATTCAAGAGGAATGTGGTTAAGTATCAGTATCTGACTGGGTCTGAATATACAGCACAGCAAAGCATCTATTTGCTTTGCCACACACGTTGCATATAAACTCCCTTCTTTACAGTCAATCTTACCTGATGTTTAAAGAGGAGTTATAACATTCATTTATCTTTTCTGGGGAAAAATTTTGTTAATGCAGCCTTTGAATAAGTGCTACCCTGCTCTTTAAATGCGAAAGTTCACTAAAACTCCAGTGATTTATGTGCAGCTTTTGACTGCCAGCACCTGGCAGATGAAGAAACCTACTCAAGCTTCAGTCATAAACAGATAGCATACAATTTAATTTTAATGTGCTCGTTAGTCGTAGCACATTTCAGACATAATTGTGAACGCAACACAAAATTATAGCAAAAAGACAATTTTAATGCTGCTGTAGAAAAAAAGGTTATATGAAGAGTCATATAATGGTGCTTCATTGTCAACAACAAAACAGGGCACAGAGTGCATTACAGTGTCTGTGCTGTTTACATGCCAATATTTTATACATAGATTCTCATATGGTGTCAGCTGTCAGTTACTTCTGCAAATTAACTGCCAAAAATGGAGACGAACAGAATCACTTAGTGTGCTGGTAACCACGGGTTACCTTTCATATGCCTAAAGATAAAGCTGCAGTATGGAATCTTGGGAGAATAATTAGGCAGAACAAAACAGAAAGTTACCAATTGAAATAAAAAGGCATTCTACAATATGAAATAACAACCAAGAGCGCTTATAAATAAGTAAAAGAGGTTATATCACAGAATGCCTCATAACTTTTAAGCAAAGTATTACAGTACAAACATTTTAAAGGCTTTATCAATGTTTAGGAAATACAGTACAAGTTTTTCAAATAGATTTAACCCTTTGAGCACTGAGTTTATTTTGAATTTCTCTCTTTTTTATTTTATTTTATTTTATTTTATTTTTTTACTAATAAATACCTTTAAAAGTCATGTTGTGCAAAATAGTTATAATGCATGCCAAGGATGCAGTCCGTGGCTTCTGTTATTTCAGACAGTTTAAAAACAAATGACAGCGATACTAATAAATATGTATAATTTAAACATGAACCTCTATCAATATAGATGTACTGTATAGCAAAACAAAACAAAACATACTTTGCTTTAAGAATAATGTTTCTGAATACTTTATAAATGCTATCTGTGGTATCTTTCATATAATTTACAATGTCTGAATGTTGAAAGAAAACCCTTTGATCTAGAAAAGAAATATACACTATATATAGGTACAGCTTATACCTGGGGGATATCAGGTATAAAAAACACTGTTGCTAAAAATGCAGAAGAAAAAGAAATGGCATTAACCACAATCACATTTTCCATAAGAGATTTTGAAATCTATACAATATATACATCTATGTTTCAATGTGAAAATAATATTTTTAAATTTCAAGGTGTGATACACCTCTGCATAAATGGAGGTTCATATTAGTAATTAGAACTAAGCTGGTAAGGGTCTTAAAAAACATAGGCATACATTTTTACCAAATTAATGCAAAAGTGCTTCAAAGTACTCAGAGGGCTAAAGATTATAGGGTGAGAAATACCAGCACACTTAGGTCACATGAAAAAAGTGCACCAGAATTAGTTATAAATGCTTAATTAAACTGTCTGTTAATGCATGCAGCTTGATGCATCAGAGGGATGCACAGCAACTAAATCCAATTTACACAAAGTTCCAAACACTTACCACTGCATTTTAACCTTCATATTTTACCAGTAACAACAGCTGATTATGCACCTCTATTTAAACACTGTACAGTTATACAAAACAGTTCAGCCCAGAGTTACTCTCTGGAGTTAAAATAAGAACATGTGCCAAGAACTAAACAGTAGCTTTAAGGCGTCTTTGACAGTGTTCCTCAAAGCAAATTACAGTTATTTTAATCAAAAGCAAACGCTACTGCTTCTCTAACTCCGAAACATACAGAAGATGATCCTCTGGTGACTTCCCATGTGTTTTACTAAGATGAAGTTTAACAGCATGCTTGCTTGCAAAAGTCCTGTTACAAAGTTTACACTGATAGGAAGTTCCAATTTCTTCCTCTGGAGATGATGTCACCAGTTTTTCAGATGGTGACTTTGCTTGTGCTATCTGATTGTTAATCTGTTCATTGGACAGTTTGGACAAGTCTCTTAACCTGAAACCTAGATGTGATTCAAGGTGACTGATATAAGTTGAAGGAGTTCTGATCTGTGAAGCACAGTCATTACAAAAGAACACTGGATGCCCAGTGTCCAAATTTTTAAGGAACTTAGTTCCCCCGGTCCTTCGGAGCTGGTATTTCACATTGGCTAGCCAGTGGCTGATGGTGGTCATTGACAGTCCCGTAAACCTGGAAATGTGCATTCTTTCTTGAGGGCTCAAGTCTGACATGATGTATTTCCCCTCTGATGTCTGCCGCAAACTGGCTGCAAACTGGGCCTGCAGAATGAGCAAGTGCTGAGGGTTCCAGTTAGACTGACGTCCCTTCCTTTTCTGAGCTGGTGTGCTCTCTTCTGGTTCTTCTATTGTGGTACCATCAATGTCAGATTTCTCAGATATGCTGGAAGGTGTGGAAGATTTTGATGTGTGACTTTCTGTCAGGTTCTTCAGCATATCAGATATATCTGACAAGGCATTCTCGCGTAGCGGTGAGTTTGACATGAATGACACGACTGCAGATGTCTTTGCTGTTGTCACTGTAGATGAAGAAGATGCAGAAGATGTCGATGTAGATGACAAAAGCGCTGAACCCAAAGAGCAGCTTTTGTCACTCTTGCCTTTCGTCAAATCTATGGGTTGGTCATTGTTGACATGATAAAAATAACGGTCTAAGTGGTCTGGTTTTTTGGACTGTAAAGGTGGGGTGGCCACGGCAGCCTTTTCTGCCAAACTGTTGCTCATTTTAAAAAGCATGCTCATTGGATCCAAAGCAGGTAAAGATGGCTTTGCTGCCTTTCCAAGATGAATGTTCATGACAGACTGCAGTGCACTTAATGGATTTACAAATGGCTGTTCAGGAGGGTGATCAGTGATAATAGCTGTGCTGCTGCTTAAAGCACTTACAAGTGACTTTACAGGCTCTTTACCATTTTCCACTGGTTCTACAGTTGGACTATCCTTGCAGCTATCCCTCTGAGGGACTGGACTGCTCTGTTGGCTTTTAAAACCACTGTCACTGGGGGCCTCCATCTTGAGGGGTTCACCAACTTCACTGCTGCATGGCGAAGGTGTTGCACGTTTCATTGGAGAAAGCTTTCCTTCCGGTTCTTTCATTTTTTCTTCAACTTTAGCCACTTTCTCAGTGACTTTCTTGACCAGTTCTTCCATGGCATGAAAGTTTGTTTTTGGCACAGGTGAGGTCTGACTGCTTGGTGGCGACACAAGAGGCTGGTTTTTAGTTGGTGACACTATTTCATTGTTTCCAAACACAGGCTTTAAGGGTGTACTTTTTCCAGATGAACCCAGCGACAGCTTCATCATGTTAGGAAGCTGGTAGGCAGCATGAATACTTGGGTAGCCACCCCAGCTCGGTGTGCCATTCTGGGCTTTGTTTATAGCTGACGTCACTGTGTTTTCTAGAGACTTTAAGATATCTAGACCCCCTTTGGGACTCTCTTCCAGATCATTTTCAGTCAAGTAGTGGTATTTGGAAGAGATATCATACTTTTCCTCCTCTTCACTTGACTTCTCCTTATCTTTCATTTTGTCATCAGTGATGCCTCTCTCTTTATCTACTTCTTTTTTAACTTCAACATTTAATTTGGGGGAGACACTAGAAGGTGTATTGGAAGGAGATGTAAAAGTGGTGGCAGCTAGTGGCACAGACTGTACCTTTTCATCTACTAAGGATGTTATCGTTGGCGTTGCTGGGGCTTCTATAATTGGCTTCCCCTTCTTCATGGCAGAGTTGGTGACTTTTATAAAATGTCCTGTCACCATCATGTGGGCAGTGAGTTCTTGCAGAGTATCATGCGAACTTCCACATTCCATGCATTTGAGAATTTGAGATTTTCTTGCTTCAAAATGCCAGGCATAGCTGGCACCGTTCTGGTGACCATAACGATTATTTGGTGTGATGTAAGGATTGGAATTTTTTTGTAGTGCATCGTTGGTGTCAGAGATTGTTGCTTTTGGCGTTCCACCTGTGGAGTCTGGAGAACTTGGAAGCTCAAGCTCCAATGATGCTTTCTTTCTAGTAGCTGGGATAATTTTTGCTGCTACAGGTGTAACAGGCTCTTTCAGAGGCACTTTTTGGTAGTGTTTTGTTTTGATCATGTGAACACTCAAGTCCTGAAGAGATTCAAATGAATGGCCGCAGTACATACACTTTAATACTTTCTGGGCATCTTCCTTCCCTTCCATTTCAAGCAAAGAACGTTTACGAGGTTTGGACCACCTTTTAGGGTTATTGTTATCAGTTTCATGGTTGTCATCTCGATAATGTCCTGTCTCATTCATGTGCACTGTTAATTCCACTAAAGTATCATAGGCAGCACTGCAGTCTTTACAACGAAATTTACTGGCTCCTGTAAATATCGAGCCATAAAGCTTACTACTTTGTCTGTACAATTGAACTGTGCTAAAAAGACTTGGTTCAGGAAGAATTCTGCTCTGAGAAACCTGCTGCAGTGTTTTTGCCATGGCAGTCTGATGCCAGTCAAAGCTGCCACTCCCACAACTGCTGCTGCTGCTGCTGCTGCTGCTACTACTACCATTGTTTTTTTCTGAAGTTGGCTGGTGGAGATTCAAATTGAGATTGGACCAGTAGGAATTGGAGAGAAAGTTGTTATACACCGCTTTCATTTGTTCTAAGCTATCAGATACAGTCGAATCTTCAAGTGGTATTGAAACCTCCTTGCTCTCCTCCTCGTTTTTGATAGAGCTGCTCTCAAAGTCTGCCATTCGGTCACTTGTCTCACTGATGTGGGATTCACTGTCCATTTCATGGCTAGAAAATTCAGCAGCTGGAGAATTTTGATAGCTCTGGCAGTTCTTACTGAAGTCTTTTTCTGGGCACGCATACTTTGCTGAAGGCTCCCCATCCACTGCATTTTCATCGGGTTCCACGTCTTCCTCCACCAGAGCTGCTGCCTTCAGTTCGTCTGAAACATAGGCTATCATAGGAAAAAGAATACATAAGAGTTAGTGACTGTTGCCCATGTTTTATATCAACTGCTTAAATGTTTCTGCCAAAGAACTGCATTTATTTGTAAAATTAAACAGTTAAAATTTAGTGTTTCTTCAGAGCAAGAAAAAAAATCTGCTCTTCAAACATAATTTGCCACCTTATTCTTCTCAAGGGGCAACAGCTTGAAATTAAAACTAAATTTGAAATTAATGAAGCACATTCTGGAGGTGGCATTCATTTCTAAAGTAATAAATTACTTGTATCAACCTCAGAGACAGCAGTTCCTGTCTGTCAATTAATATGTCTTATGCTTCTCCTACCCCTAATGCATTTCTTAACAGACAGATTCACAATTTAAATTAAGCAAGCATTTTTTACTCATTACAGTTTTGAGCCTCAATCTTTAATAAATATAAAGTACAAAAAACATCAATAAAATTCCTACGAAGTAAAAAAAAAAAAAGACTTCAATTACAACCAATTAAAACAAAGATTTATTTTGGGTGGGGGGGTGGAAAAGCAGGTGATTCAAAATCCTGAAATAACTTGCTAACAGTGATTCAAGGATATTCATTATAGAGGTACAAATGGCCCATTCACATTTAAACATACTTCTCTCCTCAGCATGAAAGCCCGTGCAGAATTATGTCAGGAGCAAGTTCAAGAAAATTGGTATGCTGTTCTCATTCTTGCTGTATAAATATATACAAGACCTTCCAGTGGACCTTACAAATGTCAAAGTGTTTGCTCTTTAGACTACTTTGTCAATATTTACTCAGCATAAACTACACAGGCACCCAACAGGGATCCTGCCTTTTACTTTATTTTTTAAGTAATGCAACTGATGATGTAAATCTAACGTGCTCTTCCTGAATAGGATAGTTGGGAACTGACTAGCTTTATATTAAATTTTCCACAGTGGTACTCTGCATGCATTTTACATATACGAGTTACCTCTTTAAAAAATAAATCTATGAAAGCATTGAGAAAGAGAGATCATTCATTGATCAAAGTGACCCATCACTTTACAATGCAATAAGCTAAAGATAACTGAGATGCCAGAAATATATAAATATCATTAACAGGAATTTTTTTTTTAAATAGAAGTACCTGAGAACTTACTAGCTCCGTACTACTGTAACAATATACAACTAAAAAAAAATATTTGTAGTAAGCTTCAATGGTGGAAGGCACTTGGCTTTTGGCCTCGCCTTTTACAACATTTGCAATGTGCGGGTGTCTGGCTTAGCACACCACAGCTCAGCATATTAAATAATCTAGTCAGGTTATAGAATACGAAATATATTAAGGAAACAAACCAGAGCATTTGAAAAAATTACCATATCATTTAGATACTATTCATAACTTTTCACATATCTTTTCAGGATTTTTGTGTCATATGATAACAGAAAACCACTAAATCTTAACGTAATGATGAAACTGGACTTCTAGTTTGGACAGAATATGCTTCATCCAGTTGGGAAGTATAAAAAATTCACCACTGCCCTTTAACATGGATGAGTTTTAGCAAACTTTCTTCCAAGCGTATAAAGGTATAATCTGGCATTTAGAGTACGAGTTAAACCTTTGGAAGCCTACACATATCAAGCCAGAACAACAACAAATTTTACCCATGTATTATAGTGCAGACTAATTTTCTAGTTGTGGAAATCCAACCAGAGGGTGATCCTACATCTAGTATGGTTTTATTGAAAAACTAAAATTAAAGTAAAACAAAGCCTGATTAAAAACACATATCCTATCTGAAAACTTGTATTTTAAAATGTTCAAATACAAGCTTCAGAGCTAAAGAAAACAGAATTCCTCTCTATTTTCCTATTGTTTTCACCATTTTGAAATAATATAATCAATGGCAAGGATTCTGTAATCATCATCATTTACATTGCAGCCATGGCTACAGGTTGTAATCAAGATCTGGGACCGTTCTTTTAGGCACTACATAACCACTTGCAAAAGGGCAATGCCAAAGCACTTGCAGTCTAATAAGGTAGACTTTATTTAATGCTTTCATTCCCTTATGGAATAGTACAAACTGTCTTTTATTTTATTATTTGCATCATAGTATTTCTTGTCTATAACTACTTAGCCAAGAAGAACAAAGGAGTACAAACCCTTGTCTAAAATAAGAAAGTGAAAATAATGATGGATAATGCTTGAGCAACAGGTACCAATGTTGAAGAACTGAGGCTCCATGGTTCCTGTCATAAAGGGGAACTTTGCCAGAAACATCATAATCCTTTCCTGTGGGATCCATTTGTGAAAAGTTTTCCTTTAAAATTTCCACCCCCTTTTTACCTTCCCAACCTGTGAGATTACAGCCTTGTTCTGGAATAAGGAAAATGGGTGGCTATTTAACATAACGCATGGAAAGAAGTCATTTTCACACTTGCCCATTCCAGGGAAACACTAAGCTTTTCTTCCCTGTATTCACTGAAAGCTGTGCATTCACTCTCAAATCCGTGCATGCCAACAAGCAGGAGTCACCCCTTGGAAACCAGAGACACTACTTGTGGGAGCGGGATCTCGTGCTCATTATTGTGAACAAGAACCATGAACGTAGCCCGTGATTAGTGGTGTTCCCTGCATCTCTGGTTCTCTTAATACTGAAACTTTATGATCTTTGTTTGGACTAAAACACTTGTACTGTCATATTCATAGTTTTTAAGAGAGTGACTTTTCCATTAGGTGAAAACCTTCAGCACGCAGCTCATTTAAATTTAAATCTATTTAACTTTCATGCTTTCTTTGCCCTTTCCACCAGCTATCAAGCATATTTGCGTGCTAACCAGGAGCTGCCTCCTCCATAACTCTCTTCTTCTTCCTAAACAGAAGTCAGCAAGCCAAGTTTGTGACACTGCAGCCTTTGATCCAGACACGCAAGTAATACATCCCAGACCAGAGTAACAGATTTAACGCAGCAGCTTGCAACGTTGATAAACTAATTCCACTACAATGTGGAATATGAGGCGGGGGAGAGGGGCATGGAGGGGGGGAAGCTTGCACCTTTACACCTACCAGGAATCTATCTGAATCCATTACAGTGAGTCAATACAACTGCCTAGGAGAGAGGAAAAATGGGGAAAAACTTCATTCCGGTTCCCTCAACTAGCATCCTCCCTCATGCATAGTATGAGGTTGCCCATGAGCATGACAAAACCGGAGCGGATTCTAAACCATGATCATCCCAAACCAACTGGAGTTTGCACCAGTAGTTTTCTGTGGCTCTTAACTCTGGTTTGTACACAGGACCCAATCACCTACTTACTCTTGATCTGCACAGGGTACTAAAGAGGAGTTACAACAGACTTTATCAGGAGTTTTTTCCCTGTTACTCACGGTCCTAATGAACCATCATACCCTACTGGGCTGCTATGGGGAAGGTATAAGCTGAACCCAAAACGGGGCCATCTCAGACAATGAAAAAATCTTCAGTGCCTCCTAGAAAAGCCCACAGCATACTCGGAGATCCAGCCAGGCAGCGACATGCAGAAAGGTAGAAACAGCTCTGTGGTGGGTCAGATAGTTGTGCGCACGTAGCAGCAGCTTGTTAACCCCAAAGGATACAGGAGGCAACTGGCATCTGCGACTCTTCTCACATTGGCCAACCGTCGCCTTGTAGCTTTCTCAGAACTTCCCTCCTTTCCTAACCCCCCCGGCCATGTTCACAAGGGAGTGGAAGTAGGCTGCAAGGCTACTGTTGGAAGCCCCATCTGGAAGCAAGAAGCTACCTATCCCTCGCCTGTTCAACTGAGCTCTACAACACTGCTTAGCAAACTGCAAGAATATAAGCAAAGATTACACTACATGGCAATAGCAAACAAAAGGATACAATGGAAAGATCATTTGTGCAAATTAGTATCTGCAAGAGAAGCAAAGGGACTATCAGCAGCTGTTGGTAAAATTCTGCCTTCCCAGGGGCTTCCAGGAGGTGAAAGACCCTCTCTAAGCTATATTACCTCCTCTACTATATCTTCTCACTTGCTTGTTATTGAAAAACTCTCGATTTTGCTGGTTTTAAAATGTAAAATAAATGTCTGAAACAGCAGGAGAGCTGTGCAACTGTTCTCTACAGCAGAGTGTAAGGGGCGGGGGGACCCTTAAAGTCCAAAAAGTTAATAGGAACTGAAATGAAAGAAATTACATGTTTCTGTGGGGTATTTTCCACATTAATAAAAGAAAAACTTTGCACAAAAGTTTTCAATTTACATCTTGTGGGGGTAGGGGACTCACTTGAGGCTGTCTGCAAACCCAAATAATGCAATGATTGTGACAGGCTGCTTGCCAAAAAGTAGAAAATGGGTTTGTATAGAAAATAAGGACACCGAAAGGATTCAGAAAATCATCCTGGGTACTGTTAGAGAGAGGTCAAAAACATACAGCTCCCTCATTAATATTTATTAGAATTATTAACTAAACCACTAGGTAAAAATGAAATTAATACCTTTAATATAAATACATAACAGTAAGCTGTAGTATAATGTAATTCATTTCCATACAAGGGGGAATTACCTTCATAACAGAGCTATGGATCATTTCTTTACTAGTGGAAATAAACTGTGCTATATCACTTCCCAGAATGATCCGTACATAACGTGTATTGTATATACACAGATATAGGCTCATACATTCTCCATACATACACCAGAGATGCCATTACAAAGCCTGCATATGTACTGAATAGAAATATCCTACAAATATGGAAAGTTACTGTGCAGCTAAACCAAAGTGTTTATTATCAGTATTTTTTTTTCCTGAGGTCCTGAGCCAAATTCAGTGCTGGACTAAATGGGTACAACTTTGCTGGAGCCAAGGGATTGAATCCACTGATGCCAATATGCTTTCCATATAGTACTGATGTGACACTTCCTGCATCCCTTTCACTAACATGGTCAGAAACACCTGATTTAGTTTGTTTGAAAAGATCATAATACAAACCAATCTAGTTTTCACTTTACTCCAATATTT